AATTCCATTCCAGACATCAAGAAGAGAAAACATAAAAAAAGAAATAGAGGGGACGCTTGATTCATCGATTCATCGTTAATTCATATAAATTTTTACATTTGATTTGTGATATTGTAATGATATAATAAATGATGATTTTTTTAAAGTTTATTCCAGCACATTCCTTAATACTCTCTCTTCAAATCCTTTTATAAATTAGACTTATATATTTTAAAATTGCAATCTATTTTCTAACCATAATAATTTCAATTTAATAATTTTATATACGAGGATAATAAGACATAAATTTTATTTTGTAAGTAGTGAAGAGCACTTCGTGATATCAGCGATAATATAATTATTCGTACGTGCCTTGCGAAATGTCTATCGAAATCGCGCGGTTTGTCTCATTAGAATTAATTCTGGATGTTACAACCGAGAGAAATAAGCACGTACTGACAGTTAAAATTCTATTTCCGCTGCCCGTACTGCTCGTCGTCGGGAGTAATTGACGTAGATTATAGGATGATAATAGCGGTATCCTCATGAACGCGGGTGGATCTGTACTCGGACTCCGCTGACCTTCCGCGGAATTGGTCCTCCGTGATTCCGCTGTAATTTCTTCCCATATGGAATAAATCTTCGCATCCGTTACGAAGCGGAATAGAAGTAAAGAGAATAAAGGAGAGGAAAACGGAATAGAAGAAAGATAAAGAGAGCGGAGAGCGAGCGAAAACCTGAAGTCGCGACTGCGAGAGCAAATCGGAAAGGCTAGAGAGGACGAAAGAGGGAGTACCGCGCAATAATTGATTCCATAATCGGCGGCTGCCAGACATCAAAGCAACTCGGTATGCCGAGCCGAATCCCCAGCAGACCGGCTCAGAGCTAGCCAATCCTCATTCATTATTTAACTTAACTACCCCTACATGGAATCACAAAAAGTACTTTGATTCAGCGCGCGTTGTGGACACGATGTTTTCGCCATTTTCCTCGAAATTAATCCTGAAAATTTTTCATTGATTTCTGACTGCCGTTCGGATGGAGCTTGCTCGAATAACGTATCGAGAAGGCTTTTAATTGAAACGCGAGGCTGGATCTGTCGCATGAATGAAATATTGTGCGTGATAATTAAGGAACAGAGAAAACACGCCGAATAGCTTTTGAAGTGCGTTTATTGTAAAAGAAATGTTACGTTGTGTAAATCCTTCATGTAAAAAATTAAATATAAAATATACATATTTTTTCTCTTTTATGACATTCTCTTCTTTTCGAATGAATAATGTATAAATAATGTATAAATATTATATTCAAAAACTTAATTTAGATGATATTTAATTTTTATCAGAAAAGAAAAAAATTTATTTCTTTATATATCTTTATATGTAAATGGAACATAATTGAAAATTATATGAAGAATCAGAAAACATATATAAAATATATGTTATAATACATGATATATAAAGTTGTAAATAGAAAAGAAATATGGAATGATAAAAGAATATAAAAGATACTCCACTATATATATATATATATATATATATATATATATATATAAAATTTTATCTTGAAATTTGAATTATAAACACTAAAGCGGGTTTAAGATAGAGTTATTATTTGGCATATCTCAAAGCAACTTTCTATTATCTTCAGCACGACTCTCGTAATAATAGAAATTATCTAGCCTGCGTGTAATGGCTTTTATATGCCTTCTCGCGAAAGTTGTAACGACCGATCGTATCTAGTCTACAGTAGTTTCCCTAACCACATCAGAGTTCACCTCCGAGCCTCCGGGTCGGTCAGGTCACATGAATTTAGCAAAACGGACGACCCCGAACCTTTTATCCACGTACTCGCACTAAGCCGCAATCGAAATCGCGTTTGCATGCACCTGCTCTGTTTAGCATTTCCGGCGGCCATTAGTCGCACTCGATAGTCCGATATCTTTCCATTTCCAGATAGTAAAGCGTCGTCGTGTCGGCAGAAGCCATTCTCAGTTCTGGAATTAATTCAACTGGCGATTAGCTTCCGCGTCGGGGATGAGTTCTGGCCGAAACGGCTTTCGTGCGTTCGATCGTAAATGCTCGAGAGAGTGTGTGTTTCACGTGTATCCATGTGGCCGTTGACTGACTACGTCCGAACCGCGGGCGGGCGTGCGACGTATTCGTACGACGGGCCTAATACAAGTGGACTTGAAGCATGCGAGCAACCGGAAGCCAAGGCGAACTTGCGAACCGAACACGCAAACCGTGCTTTCCACCCTTGGTCCCCGCGAGAGCGAGCAATCCCCGTTGCCTCCTACAACCCGCTCCTATCCGTTCCGAAGTTCCCTTCGTTTATTCGTTCCACGTCTCAGTTATCTGAGTAATACCTCTCCTCCGGCTTTGCCTCGCGCTGCCCCTCGTTGGCCTGCCCCCTTTATTTCGTCTATCTCGCTCTCATTCTCGTTTCTATCTCGCTTCCTTCCTGTATCTCACTGCTGACCCTCTTCTTCTTCTTCTTCTATCGTGCCATTTTTCTCTTTTTCTCTTTTTTGTACAAGCCGATCAGGGCAGGTTCACTTAACCCTCCGGGTAATGGCGCGCTGTATTTTTCTTCGACGCTCGTAATTACGCCCGTGCTCTCGCGAGCATATTTTATTTCGTTCCAGATCGATCGATTCCGACGTTGGTATCTGTCACTGCTCCCTCCCTCGCCACATCTCCTCGTACTTTCTCTCTCTCTTCCTCTCTTCCTTTCCCTTTTTTCTCCTCGTCCCGTTGAAGACTTCACCAAGCGTCACCCTCCGGCAACCATTAGTCTTTCTTTCGATAAATTGGCGAACCGGAGTGATTGCGAGATGTCACCTCGGCACTCTCACCTGTCCGTAACACACATTTGTTAGTAATTCGAACGGTAGTGCGAGTCTCCCTTGTTCGCGCTTGATTAGAGCCATATCGATAATGATTTGGTAAGAACGCATATGTTACTTCCCACGGTTGCTGACGGCTCTGTTGAACACGACCGTGTGCTTGCAGCTGTGTTTCTAGTATGGGTATTCAACTCTAGCCAACCATTCGGAATACTCTATCGATCGAATTCACATTCTCTACCACGTTTTTCGCGGTAAACTATAATTTAATGCTCTCGAGTATGAAAGAGGTATGAAAAGATAAACCATGGCTGGCTAACTATTGAGGCTAACTTTGCTAGCTTCATTTAAGTAGTATTCCGGAGCTCATTGAATTATTGATACCCGAGAAGTAAATTGAAAATCGATAAGCGATCCAGTGTAATTTAACTTCGCGACCATTTCCAGACGAAAAGAAGAGAAAGAGAGAAAGAGAGAGAGAGAATGGATGAGAGCGAGAGAGGATATGGAACTTGAGGATTATAGAACTCCTCGTGTGTTGGACGGGATTTTCATTTTTTAATTAATACGCCGTGCACAATGGTATCCAGGAGAGACGATCGATAAGGCCGACTAACGAGCTGCCAACCTCTAATCCAACTTTACCTCGAAAACTGTCGGAACTCTTATACGACGTGGTAATGAGTTCTGGCCGTTGAACGGAAGAAAAGTCACGATGTTAATAGCTTCTACCTTTGAATATCTGGGCAAAAAATCGCGCCGTACAGAACGGAATCCGGATGCGCGCACCACCTCCGGACACGTGCCGTTGTGGATTATGTTTTAGCCTCGTTTAGCTGCGCAGCCAGGTCGAGGAAATAAAGCTCTCCGGAACGATCGCGAGTACCAATTCGATCCGAAACCTATTGGATTTCGCGGAGTGCAATTTCTTCCTCGAGACCGCAATGCAATGTTCTGTGCGGCGCGCGCCGCGTTCCCTCGTCGATACCACGAGACACTTTAGACGAAAACGATAGCGAATCGCAGCGCGCTATGTAGTCGGTGCAGCTCAAGTGCCACGTACTTTTAAAGTATCGCATCAAGTTCCTCCCCGGATGCCCTGTGCTACGCTCACGAATCGAACGCGATTATATCGCGAGGAAAATCACGTCGTCGCGAAAGTCGCACGCGGAATAAAGTTCTTGATATAATTGTGAACGATTTTGGAACTCGGGCGGGCTCCGTATTACGTTTCAGTTTGCTGTAATAACATTTCCGAAATAATGCGTTCATATCGCGTCGACGGAGCTCGTGCGTTAAGAATTACAATGAGAGTGGGAAGTAGCGGGAAATTTAATAAAAAAAAAAAAAGAAAGAAAAAACGCACTCGCTAACAGCTTAATAATGCGAACGTATTTCGCCATGATCGTGCTTCTTTACTACCGTGAACTCCTTTGCATTTCTCCCGCCGTTAAAAATACGTCTGACTTTGTCGCAGACAAAACACCATAATAGTAGCTCTGTGCGTAATGACGCATACTAACATTTGCCAATTCAAGTACTGGTGCGCGAAATACAGACACGACCATCGTCAAGCGACGTAATGCCTCGCCATAAGAGGCTTGCGATATTATCCAGCTGTCAATGCCAGAAACGGAGCTTTCTTATGGGGTCGACGGCGTTCATGATGCCAGCAATTTATTACGTTTTTCGTCAACTAAACGCATTAGGAAGCAAAAGGGAGAGACAGACGCATTAGCCACGAAACGTATCTTGCTTACATATTTCAACGAGATATTTGTCTCTCGCCCGGCGAGTATCATGCGGCGTTTCGCGAATGATGTTCTCGTTCGTGAACATGCGGCCAGTCAGTTGTACAAGAGAATCGAATAATTCATAGGCGGGCGGCTTCTCGTTAATTAATTGCGTTTGCCAATGAAGGCGGGACAGTTTAAAACTTCCTTCATAATTCAGGGCCATAATCGGTTATCGCGGTCATTACGGTACGACACAGCGCGATCGTCGATGAAATTAGCGTTTACAAGCGATTTTACGGCGCTTCACTGATTCGCGAAGGAATTTTAATCTCGCGAAAGTTGCTAATTACAATTGGCGTAGGTAAAGAACGTTTTAATGGAAGACACTTCATTTCTAATTTATTATGAAAGCACGAATTACGTCTGTCATATAACCTGGCAAAAGTAGTGTTGCTAATTACTGCTAGTAATACATATTTGCTAGTAATATATTTGAATTTTTCTTTTCTATATTTTTAAAATGTCACAATTCTAGCAATTTTTGGAAAAATAAATGAATTATGTTCATGAAGAAATCTAAAAGACAAATCTC